CTTAAAAGTTAATAAATATAATTAATAAATAATATTAATATTTTTATAAAAATTCTTTTATTAATTAAAAATTATAAAAAAGAAAATATTTAACTTAATATAACTTAACTTAGTTACTAATAATTATAATAATATTAATAATTAAACTACATAAATATTAAAAACATTTAAGTATTAAATATAAAATGCTAATTATGTTTATTTATCTCTTTAATTACCTATTTATCCTCTCTCTTTTAAGCTGCATTTTCTTAAATTTTAGTAGTAGGTTCTGGGCTTATATTAAGTTGCCTGTTGTTGTACTTACGCCACCATTCTGTATTCTTCCTTTGTGGCATTAAGCTCCAGTGGACCATGCTGTCCTCTTCGTCACGGTTCATAATCAGTCTGCCGTAAGCTTGGCTTCGTGACCACAAAGGATAATCCATATTGACGTCGAGTCTTAGGCGCGATCCGATCATACTGATATTATCGCCAACACGAGTAGCAGTTAGATATGTAGCTGACAGCATGATAACAACGGTCACTATCTGATTGAACAGGTTACTCATGCCAAGGGTAATGGCGTGTGCCGCGAAAAAGGCCCAACCGATAGCGCGAGCGAGGAAGTAGAGGCGGGAATGTAGAGGTCGAGCATCAGTGACGATACACCCCACTACCAATTGACGAGGTCCAAGGATTGTTACGGCCTTCCCATTCGACAAAGTAAGAAAGGCCTTGACATGTTCTCCAGGCTTATCGTATAACTCCTCGATACGTTTGTCCATGGAGGCACGCAGCTGGCTGACCATATGCTGTCTCACAAGCACCTGCCCAAGCATGGCGAGAGCATTGACCATTCCCCATTTATCAGCCGTCAGAACTGCAAGGCATATCGATAAAGAGAAGGAGGAACCACCTATAATCAAGGCGGATAACTTTCGAGTCATGGAGAGGGATGTCCCGTCCATCTTGAGTTTGATAACAGTCGATGCGTAATTAGGCGGGAAACAAGCGAGCCAGCGGGTAAACCAAGCGGCTACATCGGTGGCCATTACACCATCTGTGACATTATAGAGCACATAACCATGCTCTGGGTCGGCAATCTCGTTATTCGCTACAGCATATGACCCCAAGACAGGTAGCCATTCTGTAACCCAGCTTTGGGTCAAGCTGCCAATAGATATGTTCATCTCCTTAGCGCCAAAGATCGTGACTAGCCCAAGGGCGTCTATCTGAAATGGGGCCCATTCGGAGATTGTAGCGAGAACAGTGTGCATTATGGATTGATTGTTGAAAAGAGAAGGGGAGCCTCTTGATAAGTCGGGATTGGGAAAGCAAAGTACAAAGTCAGCTGGAATTGTCAACTGTGGAATGAGTGGGCTATGTATGAAACTTAACTGCTGGTCTTGAGGTTTTAACGACTGTGTCAACATGCGACACGTGGTTCAGAAGCGGGGGCCTAAAGAATAAGCAGGTAACAGGTTGTAAAGTAGAAAATCAACACCTAATTTTAATCCAATAGCGCGGTGTAAAATGCAAGTCTGGCTTGTGATTGGTCGGATTGATAATGCTTACCAGTTCGGAAAGTCGAGCCTTCCTTACTTGTGTGTGGCTATGCGTGTACAAGCCACTTGTCAGAGTGTTCGGGGCTGCCTCAGTCCCAAAGTTCGGATTCATACAGACTTACCTGAAAAAATGCTAATATGAAGGCATGTTTTACCCGAAAACAAGGGAGTTCTTTGCTTTTCAGCCTAGTAATCATGCATCCTAATTGTATCAATACATAGTTGCCAACACATGAAGGGCTGTGCATCAGGCATTTGTGCATGGTTTAATCTAAGTGTAAAAACACATTGCTTTGAGGGGGGCTTGGTTCTGCATCGCCAACGAACTTCACGTTACACGCGCGAGTTGCTTGTGTATTTCCCAAACAATATGCGCAACAACGTAGATGGCCTCGCGAGATGACGTGATCTTTTTATGGAGAAAGACTGGTGGCCTCAGCGCCCCAATTTCGCGTGCATGCAGGGTACACAGGCATGCATGCCCGACAAGTCGAAATTTTCGAATAAGTTCACTTCTGAGGCCATTTTAAATATCATAGTAATAACATGAATATCTAGATTAATTCTAAAAGGTAAGCTAGAAGTAGCAGCAACAGAATATTATCGAACTTCGTCATTTCTCCTTCTGTGTTTTCATTATGGACTTTCTTCCACAGCCGCAGGAGCCTCTTTATCCATGCCCCGAGATCACGCTGCTGTCCCTCGAGCAGTATCGCGGCGGGAGGTTCATAGATTATCCGTTACGTCAAAATTGGGGTCACCGTACGGCCAAACAATAGGTAACTTGCTTCAAGGATCCGAAACCCGACTTCATAGCCATGCTTGAAAGATGGATCACTTTTAGGATATCTTTTTGCCTTACTCGGAGACCAATGTATCAAACTGATCAAAGATGCCAACTTTATGTCCTAGAAAGGAGATCCATCTTATCCCGTGTTGACCATGCAATAGCTGCCAGTGCTGTGATGCTTGATGCCACTTTGTATCTTTGGCCTATCAGAGCCCTGATAGTTCAGTCAGGTATCTAGGCCTTTAATGGTGGTGGCACGGCAATAAATTGAGGCCCGTCTGAAATGCTCGGAAGTGTAAATACCACCGATTTAACGCTACTCATAGACAAGAAGGCTGTGCAGTTGTGGCTAAGCGGTATGCAATACATCATAGCGCTCCAGGAAATGATGTATAGAGTCTGCATATGTGTTGGGTGCCAGTTGACCAATTACCGGGTCCATTTCAGCGATCAGCCCCAGCGCATCGATCTCGAATGGGGCACAGCCTTTCAAAGCCGTAAATCTGGGACTGACATGTGAGGAAAATGATTTGGATGAATAAGGGTTGAGAATGTTGTTGGAGTTTGGGCATCAATGTGAGAAAAGCGAAGACAGGGCAGCTTGTGAGGGGAAACGAGTGTACTGACGTAGACCTACAAGGGTTGTGCTTACGGTGGTAGGTCAAAGTGTGATAAAGCCTTACAGGTCGCCTACACACAGCCTAAGCGGGGCACTTGGGTCTGCTGCAGGCAGAGTAGAGCAAGGAAGCAGCCAACAACCCTATCTCGACACGTGTGCAGTCGGCCTGATTGCGCTACCAGCTATGTTCCTTATAAAGTTTCAGTTCTGTTTAGAGCGCAAGATTTCAGTATTTAATGATAAACGTAACCTTGTAGTTTAATCTTGAAATATTTCGACCTATAGCTCTACTAAATTACACTTTTGCATTAAACAAAAATCAGCTGTTCTTTCGTTCAAGTTTCAACACTTCAATTATGGACATCCTGCCCGTCCCCAGTTACTCGAAACACCCTGTCATCGAAGTCAGGCTGCTACAGAAGCCAATACCTTATGATGATCTCCCTTATCCCACATACCCTGAACGGCAAGGCTGGCTACCAAGAAGCCTAGAAGAATGGGAAAGACTCTTCAAGCGCCCGACTCAGGCCCTCTGCGCTTTCTTGGAAGAATGGTTACTCCTTGTGCCCCTGCCTATGGCATTGAATTGTTTAGTCGATACAGAGGACGCGATTAGCTGCATCGATCTCGTCGATGACACCTGTGGATATCCTGTATTCACACTCAAAAAAATCCAAAAACAGATACAACAACTCTCAACATACAAGATGAGCGATGTTGTAATGATGCGCCCCGAATCCATGAACAACTTTTTGGTAGCGGTGAACGAGAATCGTTTACTTCACAATGCTCTACTCGACTACGGTGAGCGGTATGTTGATAACGACCCAGATCATCAAGTGCCGGAGATACTCTCGATTGATGATTTTATTCGATCGAAGAAAGCCCATGACCCAAGGAGCGAAGAAGTCATTGTTGCCACAGACTTGATGCTGGATCTTATGGCCAGCATTCTTGACACCGGAATGGAAGCAAGAACCTTGGGGCTCGATCCTGGCTTCCCAAGATCTTGGGGTTCTCCCTTATGGAGGTGGATGTTGCACGATCGCTGGTGCCCTTCGGACCTTGCCCGCCTTTTTGGACATTTACCTACGGCTTGCATCCTTTTCCTATATAACATGGGACCACCGAAGCCAAACGAAGATCATCCCATGATCCGCATCACAAAGCCCGGCACTTCACTGCAACTTTCGAGGGGTACCTCGGATTCTCGTCGTTCCTTGTGTACTGTGTTCAAATGTGCCCACAGACAGCTCATAGAGGACGAGTACGAAAGAAAACATGTCGAGGGATGCCAGGGATGTCAGGATGTGGCTGCAGATCCTGAAGACCTGCATCGTATCATCGAGAGGGGAAAGATTCCTCTGATCTTGTCTATCGATGAGGAAGATTCAAGTGAAACGGTGGTCTTCATCGAAGCTGAACCTGATATTGCATACGTTGCTATATCACACGTCTGGTCTGATGGACTAGGCAATCCCCAACGGAATGCGCTTCCTCGCTGCCAACTCCTTCGGTTAAGCAAACTGATCCGAAACCTCCCAGGCCAACACCAGAATATCATTCTCTTCTGGTGCGATACACTTTGCATCCCACCTGACTCGGCAGGAGCATCTGATACACAAGCCCTCGCTATAGGCCAAATGCGCAACATATATTTTGACGCATCAGCAGTTCTTGTTCTTGACTCTTCATTATATAACTACACCATCAGGGAAAGAAGTTATCATGAGATTCTCTTCAAGATAATATCCTGTAGCTGGAATACGCGCCTCTGGACATACCAAGAAGGGGCTCTGGCAAAGTCGTTGATTTTTCAGTTCAGCGACATGCCGTATGACCTCGACGTCAATATTTCCTGCTTACAGCAATCGGGAAGCCCGATTGAGCGAGCCTGTCTTGATTTCGCGCTGTTCAGCCAATACACTTCTCTTCGAGGCTTCAGAAAGCTCCAGTCTCAACATGAGAGACTTGAGGCTGCTTCCGTGGCTTTCTGCTATCGCACTACAAGTGTCGAAACCGATGAAGCATTGTGTCTTGCTACCCTATTGGATCTCAATGCTACAGAAATTGCACATACACAACCAGAATTGCGAATGGCTAAATTGTGGAATATGATGCCAAAGATTCCCTCTGATATCCTCTTTCAGAATCTCGCTTGCCTTCCAGATGCAGGTCTCAGTTGGGCACCTCGTACATTCCTAGCATCACGTTTGAACGCATATGGTAATGGAACGCCACTATCACCCGTCTCACTTGAAAGCCAAGATGGACGTCTAGCCAGTCTGAGCGGCTCAGGTCTTCTCGTGGAGTACCAGGGCTTTTGCTTTTGTATCGGAGACTCCGGGTTTGGGTCATTCTTTTATCTAAGAATCGAGCAAGACTGGTTCTACGTCCATTGCGGAGTCAAGGATTTAAGAGTTTGGGGTTACCGCAACTACGGTATTATTACTTCATTCGACCCCAACCTTCTTCGGGAATATACATCGCTGGAAGTACTCAACGATAGATCCAAAGGTGTTTTAGTTGGTATTACGGATGTTATTCACAGTGATACAGGCAACCCTGTCTATCTGTGTCAGAAGTTAGCAACGTGTATAGTGGAAAAGTCGACTGCACCAGGCTTTGCTCGTGGTAGATATATTTATAAGGGTTTTAGAGGATATAGTAGACGCGACCCTATGCGATTTTTAGCAGGGGATGCTAAGCAAACTCCTTATAGCCAACTCTGGCAGATTAGTTAAAACGGGATTAATAGCTAGATTATAT